AAAAAGCCCAAAATATGTCCCCCAGAGGACCTCTCAACCGTCTTTTTGGGCTTCGACGACGTCTTTAGAATTAATGAAAAGCTCTTACAGGACCTCTCCAATTTGATGAACCACGTCAACCACAAAAGTCTCGATGCGGATTTGGGAGAGGCGCTCTCGGAGTTTGTTCCGCTCCTTTCGAGCTACAAAATGTATGTTGGGCACAGCGAGACGCAATTTGCAGTGTTGGACAAATTGGAAGCCAAAAAGCAGTTTAAAGAGCTTTTGGTGGCTCTCCAGTCGAAAATCACTGTTGGGCACGCACTCAATTTGCGGGCGTATTTGATCACTCCCGTGCAACGCTTGCCAAGGTATAAACTCCTTTTGGAGGACTTAATTAATCACACGCCAGAAGACCATTTGGATCTTAAACGACTTAAAAAGGCTTTAGAGAAGGTCAAGGAGATCAATGTGAATATCAACAAGTCGGTTGATGTGACGAGTCGACAAGTCAAGTTGGTAGAATTAGCGAAGAAACTTAAAATAGTTGATTTAGTGCAGGCGGACAGATATTATGTGAGAGACGACGAGATGATATTCATATCGAATCGAGGGAAGGAAAAGCGCCACTTTTTCTTATTCAACGATCGACTGGTAGTGACGAAGTACGCCGATTTCAAAATCAAATTTGACGAGAAGCTGTGTCGTGTGAATATCGAAGACGACTCGGACCAAAGCTTCAACGTGTATTCGGCGATGTTAAGTTTTGAAGTGCTGTGTACATCAGAGGAACAGAAGAGGGAGTGGGTGAACAAAGTCGTTGAATTGATAGCGAAGTTTGACACGAGTTTAAGTCGGAAGAAGGAGAAGATCGAGTACGCGCCACTGTGGCTTCCGAGTGATATTGAGAAGTGCCAGATCTGTGGGAAGAGCTTCAATTTTATGAATAGAAAACAGTTTTGTATTCACTGCGGGTTGTGTGTGTGCAACGGATGTTATAAAGGGCGATTTGTGTTCAACGGAGTGAATAAGAGAGGGTGTGACAGATGTATGAAAAAGGCGCTGACAATGAACAAAATTGTTGTTGATGACGAAGTCTGCAGAAGAAAGTCGATTGTGATGAAGTCAAATAAAGAAGATAATATCATTCTAAGACTCGACGGAGTCGATCTCCAACGTATTCGCTCAAATGCAAACGCCAGAAAGAAGTTGCCGGCGTTCGAGAAGAAGAATGAAAACGTGAAAAAGAACGAGACGGAGAAGAGCGTGCAATGTGAAGAAGATGAAAACTTAAATCAGTTGCAAAATTCAGTCGAAAAAGATGAAAAAGAGGGACTTAAGGAGAAGACTGTTGACACAAGCAAACAACTCATTGTATCAGAAACACTCCCTACAGAAAGTCAAAACACAAATATCGAAAAAGTCGAAAAAAGCTGATGAATACCAACAATTGACATTTCATATTGTTTGATTGATTATATTAGTGTCTTCAAATATAACATTTTTTTGTTGATTACATATGATTGTTTTTTATGTCAAAAAGTTTAATATTATCAATAACGGACGTTTTTATTGATATTTAAAATATGATATTTTGAAAACTTAAAAATTTTTCGTTTTTTAACACCTTAAATAACAATAAACAAAATTCAAGTGGTCTAGAAATCGAAAAATCTCGAGTTTATATAATATTTATCTGGTTTTTTAAAGTTTATATTATGTGCATAACATTTCACAAGGCAAAAAGGAAATCATCTGAAATTGCTTATATATTTATGTATAAAAGGTCAATTCAAAAAAACAAGGGTATTATTTTAAAGTGATTTATTATACTTATATATCAATCGAATCTAAATTGTTTATATTTTTTAGTGTGTTGTAATACACATTTTAAATTTCTATCAATGAGTAAAGTATTTTTTAAACATTAAAAGTTTTTGATTTATTTTTAGTTCAGAAGTTAGTTAGCCCTTGATTTTATGTTTTTTCATCTAAAACATAAAATAATAATTCACGTTTTTAATATTTATTATAAAAATTTATTTTATATAAATCATTATACGATTCCTAAAGATTTTATTAAAAATGAATACATGAAAGATTGTTATACTTTATATTAAATTAATTCTAAACAACTTTATTTAATTTTTTATATTTGTGTGTAATTTTCGAGCAAGTTAACAATTTGTGATATTTCAATTCTGTCTTTGGGGTTTTGTTCCCACGCTTCTTTAATAATAATAAACAATTCCATATCTATTTCATTTGGCTTTTCCAACCTTTTCCCTTCTGTTACAAAATCTGCAATGTTCCACGAAAATTTAAATCTTTGTGGTGGATAGGCTGTGCACCATCCCAGACATTCATACATAGTAATGGCAAATGAAAATATATCTGCAGGCTTTTTATACTTCCCTCTTTTTAACACTTCAGGAGCCATATACACAGGAGTCCCAATTCCTTTCGTAAAAGTCATGTTAGTCATCAACATGTTAATGTTTCTACTCGACCCAAAATCTGTTAATTTTGCAATAACATTTTCGTTTATATCAAGTGAAAACACGAGAATGTTATCTGGTTTAACATCTCTATGTAATATCCCATTTTCATGTAAATAAAAGATACCTTTTGCGGCATTTAAACATATTTTTAGTCGTATTCCTTTTGATATTTCATTATTTCTATTCTTAATAATTAAATCTTGTAAAGACCCATATTTTGCGAACTCGGTAACCATACATTTCTTCAATGCAACAAACACAGCACCATAGAAATGGACAATATACTCACTTCTAAATTTGTCAAGCATTTCAACCTCTTTCATGAACTCCATCTTTGAATTGATATCTTCAAAATTTTTCATTCGCTTAATAGCAACAACATTTCCTCTGTATTTTCCTTTATAAACAACACCAAATCCACCTTCACCAAGTTTTTTCTCATTTCGCAATTCATCAGGATCAAGTCGAGTTGATAATACAGTTTCTCCTTTTACTGTAATTTCATTATAAACTTCCTCGCCTGTTTTGAGACTTTTTGATATGATCAAAATGTTTTCTTCAAAAACACAAGTAAAATAGGGTTTGACAAAAAGTTCAAATTCAGACGCATATCCTTTTTTCAAAGTAACAATTTCGGGGTTAAATCTCACTGAAAATTTTTCTCCTTGTGTTTTGGTAGAAAATTGGATTTTAAGTGTTCGTTCTGTTAAATTACCAACACATATCAATTCGCGGCTTTCGGTCAATATTGGCAAATTGCATTCATCTGCTATGAATTCAATTTCTTTGTTATTTACACAAACACCACCTTTTAAAGCAATAAACTCTATATTCGACTTGTTCATCTTGAATATTGTGCATTTCTTTTCGACTTCTTTTTTCCTTAATTTCTTCAATATTTTTTTGAAAATTATTCCAATTGTTGTTGCCAATATAATAAGCACAAACAATATAAAAAGAATAATTAATAAGATCACCCACCACACGGGAGACAAATCACAGAAAGTACCATCAACACTTGGTTTATGCCAAAAGGCACATTTGGAACATTTTGAAAAAGTGGAAGAAAGACAATTATCTAAAGAAGAATAATGGATACACATACCTCCAATTAAAATATAATCTTCAATACAAATATTACACACATCAAGTGACGTACACGTTGAACATTTTTCATTACATTTTTGACATTGGTTTTCTTTGTATTTATAAAAACCTTGCTGGCACATAGAACATCCATTTTGTGTTATTGGAGAAGCACACCCAAAAATAGAATTTTGAGGTAGACAGTCGCCATCAGATGTTTTATAATTGGTTATATTACATTCAGTGCACGTTTCTCCATTTACACACGTTGAACATTTTTCTTGACATTTATAGCAATTCAACCCAACTCGATAAAACCCGATTTTACAGCGATAACACCCCGAACCAGTAACCGAAAACTTCTTGCATGTTTCCTCCAATTCTTTATTTGGAACACATTTAAAATCGTTTACAAAATATCCATTTTTACATGTAAGGCAAAACGTACTGTTAAATAAACACGTCAAACAATTATCATCACACGTTTGACATGTATTAAAAGAATCAGAAAATGAGCCTGAAACACATCTGTGGCATCCTAAAGTGTCTTGGAATTGACAACTTGAATCATTGTAAAAAACACATGTATTATTTGTTGTGAGTACAAATTGTGTTTCACACAAAACACATTTATTATTGACTGTTAAATCACAATTTGAAATTGATGGAAAACACAACCCGTTCGTATCTTTGTGTGAATTTTCAGAATTACTACAAGAACTTTTAGAACATAGTTGATTTTCAATTATTAAGAATTCAATGTCACACTTTGTGATTTTATTAAATTCGCAATACATGCTGTTTTCATAAAACATGGAACATTTTTGACATAAATTATCTTTGACAAAATTATTTTTATCGCATGACAAAACACGGTCGTTACTATAAGTAACAATGTTTTTAGATACATCTTCACATTTCCCATCTTTGTTAATTACTCTTTCTTGTGGATTACAAAACTCACAAAAAGAAGTATTCCCCCAAGACTGACAATGTTCTGTGGGTTCAACACATTTCATATCTCTCTTTTCTTTCCCATCAATGCACTTATAACAGTCATTTCCATTACTTGCTTTACATGAGTAGTCTATCATGCATGTTCCATTTTTGTTCATGAAATTTGGTTGGCATTGGATGCATTTTTGTGTTGTATCTTCACAATAAATACAATTTTGGTCGGGACAACGTTCACATGTTTTGGATGTTGAATTACGAAATCCAAATGGACATCTAAGATATTCTAAACATATGAAAATATTGTTTTCCACTTGACCCATCATACAATAATTTTCATTTATATTAAAACCATTTACAGAAGCAATAACAACTCTTTTGTTAAAATTTGACAATAGAATTTCTTCGAGGTTTTTCGAATTTATAACAACCAAAAAGTCGTCCCGAACAACAATATATTTTAATCCATCAAAATACAAAACATTTGATTCAACTTCATTTAAATAATTGGTTTTTATTTTATTTGTTTCATATAAACTTGTTTGAACATTTTCACTGTTTATTATTAATTCCATCATATATAGTTGATCTGAAATTGCAATGTAACAATTCTCTCCTTGACAAGGGCAATACAATTCCAAATAATTTTCTTTGACGTTTTTAACGCCGTTTAGATGGCAAAAAACTGTTGTTGAAGTACCATATCTCAGAAGTTTTCTATTCATTAACAAAGTATATCCAAAGGAACATTA